TTAATAATAGTATCATGGGCGGGGGGGGGGGGTTTAATGGCACAAATCAACCCGAGATTGTAGCCAGCGGGCTAATTGCCTGGGATCAGCCACTGAAAACAAGCAAGGTGCCCATGGCACGGAGACTCCTGAGTTTTTCCCCCCAACTCATTTCAATTCAATATTTTCGCTGTTATTATCTCTTCTTTTTTTATTATTTTTATTCAGCTCCATCTATGTTTCTGATCAAGCCGGAGTCAGAGGCACGAGGGGTGGAAACCCCCCACCCCGGATCCCCCCGTGGGTTGTAAGCAGGGAGAGAAAGACGAGGAAGTGTATTTGTTTCAGGGGCGGGTGGGAAAAGTTTCCCGACTCTGGGTTGAACCCGCTCTCGATCCCTATCGGCTCCTGCAGACGTCGGGGGAAGCGGGTTGATCGGCGAAGTGACCACGCACAAAAACAAAATAAAACAAAACAAAAAACCCCCGTGCGCCCCCCTCCTCCAGCAACCCCCCCCCAACCCTTCTTTTCAGCTTGTTGATCGCCTATCATCTCCGAGCAAAACTCCCGGAGCGCTTTCCTCTTTTATTCCTCATTTATTTTCGATGGGGAGGAGCAGGGAAAACATGATTTTTCCAGCCACCCCCCCCCTTTTTTTTCCCAAAGCGGCGGGCGCGAAATAAAATCAAACTTTTCTTCAAAAAAAAAAAAGAAAAAGAAATGATCGCGGAGGGGGACCCCCCCGGAGACACAATGGGGCTGATTTCCCAGCGCGCATTGGCCATTTCCAAATCACAAGAAACATTTTGCCACGTCCAACGGCTCGCCTTTTTCCAACAGACGGTGCTATAATATTACAAAACTATCTAACAGCAGGGAGTTTTGAATAATTTATCTCCCTTTCTTCCTTTCCTTGGCCCTTTGTCCTAAGTTTTTCTCCCCTCTGCAGAATTTTGAATGAGAATAGACAACCCCCACCCCTTCCCCCCCAACCCTTTACTCCATTTTTTTTAAGGCAGTCTCGGATTTTTTTTTTTCTTCTTCTTCCCCCCCCCCCCCCTTA